TCATTTGAAAGGGCGTTTCAAGACGAGACAATGATTTTTGAAAATGTTTACTACAACCTTCCAGTCAAAAGTGGAAGTGGATCAAAAAAGGAGGTTGGGAGACTTCCGAAAAGCTATCACCTCCAATTTGGCTTATATTCAACCTAAATACTTATTTTATCTAGTAAATAATATTCCTAAATGGATTTTTTGGCGCAAATGTTTCCTCTGCCCCCCAGCCCCCCTCAAAGGTAAAACTGTTTTATTAATTATTTCAGAAAGTATTTATTGTACGGAAAAAGTTGTTGAACAAAAAATGAAGCTCATAAAAAAGCTCTACAAATAAGGTTTTATACATATTTTACCTAACTCCAATATTTTAGTATTTTATTATCAAAAAACTTGTAAAAGCTCCCATAAGAGAGGCGGCACCCATTGCATCCACGCATACACTTTCTACGCAAAGCGTGGTTCCACATGGGCTTACGAATTTCTACTCAAAGCGAGATTCAATTTAGACCCTATGTGTATAGTTTTTTGATGGTGAAGCCCCCAAGCAGGGAGACGGAACACACTGCCTCTAGATTTTTGATAATAACGGCTAAAATATTGGAATTAAGTAAAATATGTATAGCACCTTATTTGTAGAGCATTTTATGAGCTTCATTTTTTGTTTGACAACAAAATATTTTTCCGTACAATGAACACTTTCTAAAATAATTAACAAAAACAGTTTTACTTTTAAGGGGAGCTGGGGGCGGAGATAGCATTTGCGCCAAAAATCCATTTGGGAATATTATTTACTAGATAAAATAAGTATCAAAAAAGCTTTCGTACACCAAGTACTATGCGAATATGTTAGAGATGATTGGTTTTAACAATTAACAATCGCCATATTGGATTCGCCATTTCAAATTTTGCAATTTTGACATCAGATTCGAATTCAACAGCCCAAAAAACCTTAAGATATCAAGTTTTATGCAAATCTGTTAAAAATTATTGGAGTTATTTAAAAATGTACATATATGATACATTACCACGTTTGGCATTTTTTTTGTACATATATGATACATTACCACTCAACTGGTTAATAGCAAGATAAAAAATATCATCAACACTCATAACAAATGCACTTTTGTGCTTTGCAATGATAATATATGTTCACTTCAATGTGTAATTTGAATAAAAGAAAATATAATATATAAAGAGAATACTTTTTGAAAAAGATATTCAACAAATTTAAGTTCTATATTAATTTTTCAATTATAACAATAATATAACAGTACTGTAGTAAGTAAAGTGAATTCTAAACTTTTCTATAATAGATAATTTAATCAAAAATATATGACTATGATATAGCGTGTTAATACTATGCAAAAAAACTAATTCCTGGTTTTGCTTGATCCGCGTACAGTCAACCGGACAACAATAGCATTCTCAGCGATATTTATTTCTTTGGGTCCTTCATGTTCCTGATTGGTAGGACAGTAACCGTCACTCTGCTCACTGCTAGAATCAACGATCAAAGCAAAGTGGTATTGCCAGTTTTGTATACGTGTTCGGCTTCCACCTACAATGTAGAGGTAAATAATTCAACACGTAGAAGAAAGCTATAAATGCCATATTTAGTTAATTCATTACTTAATTTATTGTTATTTGATAATTATTTATTGCAGACAGAAAGGCTGATATATCTACTCACCACTGACGATATCGCACTTATGGGAATGCATTTCTTTCTATTACGCGGAATTTTATGTTAGCAGTAAGAATAGATCAAGACTTAATGGATGATTCTTCAATTAATGCAATACTTTACTGAAACTTTAATAGAGAAAGAACTTTATGACTGCGGTATAATTTGCAACGCGTATAAAAAGATATTTGTAGTATTTTGTGTGCACATTATGCTCAATTTAAGTATTCTTATATATATTAATTAAAAAGATGATTAGTGATATTTCAGAAATTGATAGAAAAGAATTACTGAAATTTTATTATTATATTTTTCATTATTATGTGTCACAATATTTTAGTATTATTATGATATTTATATGAGCGCCACTCAACATTTATTTAATGAACATTTTATCAAATTCACATGCAGGTGGCTGGTGCAATCGTAACGTACGAAGTCGTGTTGCTGCAATTCAACATCGCGATAAAACAATGAATACGCAACAGTGTAACAATGTAACATCGTCGAAAAAATATTATACTAGAGTGTAGGAGAACATAAGCATTCATATTTATTGAAATTAAAATTATCACACACACATTACATCTCATCGCAATTTAACTGACTATTAAAATATTGTTAATTGAAAAATATTTTACAGCTATTAAATAATACTCTAAAAAATCTATATGTACTTTATTATAATATTTCTGTGATTATATATATTTTTCAGACATATGTATTTTATAATTAAAGCAAGAAATAAATTATTATTTATTATAACAATAATACTTAGTTATTTTCGCAAAATACTTACGTTGATTCAGTTACATATTATTTTAATTGTATTTTATGGAACATTTTACAATAAAAAGCTAACATTCGGACTATTTTCGATTATACAAGTAAACTTTTATAAATCCAATTTATTATATCATATTAGCATTTATATTTATATTTCAGTAAATTAACATATGTATATACGAATATAAATTTAGTCTAATGTTTGTTACGTCCTGATCAGATTTCACATTTTTTTTCTTTTCGGATAAGCTAAAATACTGAACACTAGACCTAGTAAACGCGACACAGATCAAAATTCTAAAAAATTATCTTAATGTTGGCTTTCCTATGGGACTTTGCGAGTTCGACTTTTCTCGTGAAATCTCAAGTAAAAGATGGCAGGTGGCATCGATACTTTAAGCCATTTTGACCAACCAGCGCCCACTTGTCGCCGCCAAAGTCAAAAATTGAAATTTTATTTTGCTCTAGCTACCATATTTAACGATTTCAAATCGTAAACTAAGAGATAAGCTGTTACTTGCAGACAGTTAGCTTGCACTCATGGATTCTGACAAAGAAGAATCCCTTCAAATAGATAAAATGTGCTGGAAAATAGTCGGAGTTGAGAGCGCCAAGAAGATATGAAATTTGACGCTACGCACGTTCAGTAGATCTGGGAAACCGAAATGCATTAGCTATACTCCACGGGTCTTCAGGGCACGCGACCGTCATAAAATGCATAAAGTATTAGATCTGTGACCTAAAACGCTATCAACCTATACTCCACTGAATTTCAACCTTCCAATCAGATAGTCTAGAATTAGGTCAACCGCTTCTTTGGATTATCCATCGGTCTATCTTAGATCTCCAAGAAATCATGTCCATCAAAATTTTAAAACACTGAGAGCTAATTAACTCCAACCAAATTATGTAATTCTGAAACTTACTCCCCACTCTGTATGGACCCAAAGCGATGCTATTTCTTATTCGTTAGGGCCCTTTATAGCATCTCTATTATAAATAACATCATAATCTAATCTTTAATCTTATTTACTAAAAGTGATGCCGTCCTCCTCCGCATTAAAATTTATTTGTAAAACTAATTCCTATTTGACCCCCGCCACAAAATTCTAGAATTTTCTTGATAGATCTACCTCCAAAAGGAGGTATAAAAACCCGTGTCCGAAGCGATTCCGTCGTCAAAAAAGTTCGTTTTTTGTCATAAAGTCATTGTCGCCAAAAAGTCGTTGAAAAGATCGTGAAAAATCGTTGTGGCCCGTGAAAGATTTTAAGGATTCTTGAAAGTAAATTTTTTATTTAGTCGCGAACGGTTTCTTCTGTCCAATCGGTACTTAATCGCGAACAAATATTTTTTTTGCTGCGTCATTTTCAGTGTCGCTGCGAGTTCCGCGATGTTCAGTCGGGATCCTCCTAAGAGCAACCACTTACACGGGCCCACCTCTTACATTATTTCAACTTTCCTGCTAACAAATAAGTCAGTTTATTCCTTATACTTCCCTCTTTCTTCTCGCTCGTTTACTTTTTTTCTTCCTCTCCCTCTGCAAAATTCTAAATTTTATCTTACTTCCTGAAAAATGACACACAACACTACTGCAGTACTAGTTTAATTATCTTTTATATTATTATAAACGCATTGTAACAAGACAAGTTTCTTTAATTATATGTAAACTTCACACTACTAATGATATTAGTAAATCTATTGGATTCAACTTATTTATTTCCTTTTATTTTACTTCTAAAACCTTCTTTCATTCCTCTCCCCTTCATTCATTCCTCTCCCCTCTTAGATTTTACACAAATATTCTGTCCTTGGTAAAAGGAATTTAATTCCTTGACCTAAAAAGGAACCTGCAAACGGTTGACCTGACGACGAAGATCGAATACGACTCTCCCGGTCGCTGACCCGTCGCTCATTCTAACAAACTGTTCGACTCGAACAATCATGCCTGTTTATCCCAGGGAGAAATACATGTTAAAGAAACGTCTAATAGACATCTAATAAAGATACTGATCGCCGAGTATAAAATCTTTCTATCAGGACGTAACATGATTTTGATATAACATAATTCCAAATATTTTATTTTCAAAAGTTTTTTGAATATGAAAATATATTTTATGTTTTATAAATATATTGTGTTTAAATTTATATCTACTTTTATATTGTTCACAGACAACATTATACAATACAGTACAAAATCACTGTAATGTCATTAATAAACAAAAATAATAAAACATAAATTACCATTCTATCGAATTTTATAGAACACATAAGAACATATTGCAAAATACATTTACACATGCTTTTAAAATATTCTTGCAGTTGATGATTATTTTGTAACAATATTATTGAACACTGATGAACATCCTTTCGACTTTTCTCCAGAAAGTACCTTGGGTTATAAAAATTGGAAGGACTACAAAAAAATAGTAAATTAGAAACTAAAATCGTGCTAGAATAATAATTGGCAAGAAATATGTTGCAATTACAAAAGAAAGTATAAAAAGGAAATATACTTATATACAGAAAATCTTATTCGCCATAGGATAAATAGCATACTTATCGTAAGTAAAATTGCAGAGAAGTTGCCAAAAGAAATAGCGTGAAAATAGAAGATAGAATCTAGCGAAATTTTTATTCTCTCTACACTTATGTAAGATATATTATTAAACTTAAGGGGATTCCGAAGTCGTCTGTTTTACCGATTAGATGTCAATTTTTTAAAAAGTATGGCTTTTTTTATTGCTTCTATAAAATCACAAATCCTTTTGTATGATTAAAGTACATAGTATGTATTATATGATAAAATGCTAATAGAATGGTGGATTGTTGATTTAAAACCACAAAAAGAAAAAAATTTCCAATCCTTAGTAGACTCATTTTTTTATGTGTAGTAAATCGAATGCATGGGCGGGGGAGGGGCTCCGCCCGTCTAATTTTAGTTGAGGTCCAAGTTGAGGTTGAAAATGTTAATAATCATAATCAGAGGCGATGTAACCGCAACTGACAATTTGTAATAAATATCGTCAAAGGCGATCTAACGTTAGTTGATTTATTTTTAATAAATAATACCAGAGCGACGCAATGGGCTGGCAATTTTTAAGAAGTATATATTTCTTTTTATTAGTAATCCACTACACATTTGGTTTGTTTATGTTTTACCGGATAATTTGTAAAGTTTGTACTTTTTTCCTTGTGATTGAAATTCTATGGCTGTATAATGTACATACGAGATAAAATAGGCTTATACCAGTTGTCTAATAAATATAAATATGATAAAATATTCTTTTTGAGAAAATACAATATATAGGGTAAAATAGCCTAATTTTAATCGATTTTTAATTTTTCTCTTGTACATAAAACATCGCAGAAAAGAAACAACTATAGGAATAAGACAAACGTTATATGTACTTTCGTGTCATGTATTCATCATGACCAAAAACATTTAATAAAAATAGGACTACCAAAAAAAACTAAACTATTCATAACTGTCTATTCTAGGCAACTAGTTTCGTAATTAAACTACAAGTTTCCTACATTGGACCGCTCCCAAAAATCAGTGAAATTAAATCTATAATCTAAGAAAATTTAAATCCAAATTTTGCGATATTACTTTCTGATAGATAAAAAAAAAACGTAGGATGTAAAAAATGTAAAACATTATCTCTATTGAAATCTTTTGCTTTTGCAAATGAGGTAGCTTTTGATTGCCGAACAGACAGTTGAGGATTTCTTCGCATAAATGCATAGAATGCATATTTTTTTCTTGTCAACTTTTTCTGTTTTTTAATGTGTAAGAACGTTTATATTTTTCGGCCAGATCAAATGCTACCTTTCGAACGTCTTTAATGTTCAACCAAAAAAAAAACACTTTCTATGATAATATGATCAGCTAGAATCTTCTCCATCTCTCGAGAGAATGTAGTTTGTTTTCCGAGAGCCTTCATAACATTCACATATCAGTTTTTCTTCACAGCATGTCTCCTTATTGTGGCTTTAAAAACTCTATAAAACTCTATAAAAACTCTATCCTACTACACTTATTAAAACCATAATTCTCATTTTTATACGCCGCAACGGCCATTTGTAATTCATTTTCAGTCTATTTTCCATACTGTCCTCTTTGCATCATTTTGGATGTAAAAGTTGAAAGAAAAAAGAATATTTTTAGTATGTTTTGAATTACTCGCAGTAATGAGAGGCCTTGTGTCCTACGATAAAGCGGTCCAATACAAGCAACTTGTGATGGTTCAAATTAAGCAACTTGATGGTTACATAGAAAAATATGTTTTTATCATTACATTTGTACTGTAATATATGTACAAACAAGTACATCACATTGTAGTCAAGACAATACACTTTACATTAGTAACGTTTAAAATTATAGTACTTATAGAATGCAGAAGAAAATAAATTTGAGATGTCAGAAAAAATAATGTTCACATTCATATCACATCACTACTTTCCGGAACTCAGCGAGACTGAGCGGAAAGGCTGCCTCGTCGTTCTAGCACTTTCCACTCTCACTCTTTAAGCCAGTATAGCCAATCATGACACTGCAAATATCTCTCCTTTTCAAAATATATGGCGGTCCATTCTAGGAGCCGGTCCAAATTGGACAACTCTCCCCTATATAATACTATACATCTAATTGGAGAAAAATGTCATATGCTTTCCCTATTTGTATTCTTATGTAATAAATACAAAATAAATAAATAAATAAATTATTACATACATACATATACACATATTTTGAATACATAGCTATCTTTATTTTGTATTTTATATGATGACTGAATAAGTATATATTATTTGATATATCTAATATGATATGATTATAAGAATGTATCGTATAAAATGCGACAAAATAAAGATAACTATACTAAATATATGTGTATATGTATATATTAATTAATCAATTCATTAATTAGTTTATTTTGTATTTATTACACAAAGATAAAAATAAGGAAAGCCTATGACATTTTTCTTCAGTTAAATATATAGTATTATATGTAATTTTCAAATATTTTATTTTGTCATATTTATTTGACACTTTATATGTGTATTTTGTTTCGTACGTTATATTGCAGCCTTGCAACGAAATTTCGATCGACGAAAGAAGTGCGGGCCGTTTGTTTACAAACCATCCGACACATATACATTGGCCACATGTCAGTGTAGTGAGTTACCTAACAAACAAATACGTTAACACGTACATTGCGCCGATAGTATCAATCTCATTTTTAGTTCCATCGAAATGATGGCGCTTTCGCGTTGGAGTTCGGCTGTGACTCCGGAATCCCCTTAAAATATAACATTATCATAGGATATAATATTAAACTTAAAATATAGAAATATCATAAAAATATCATGGAAATATCATAATATTAAACTTAAAATGCAGCAATAAATTTCATTATATGGAGGGAAAGATGTAAAAAAAGATGTAAAACTACTGAGTAGGGGACCAATGACCTTATCCTTGATGTATGTTATCAAGGTCATTATTCTAAATAATATAATAAAATAAATAAGTTTAATGAATAGAATATAATTCTCTAAATATATTTTACAATATATATTTAATAAAAGCGTTCTTAGCAGATTTATTTATTATCTTATTATTATGGGTTAAAAGTTTTTTGAGGTGGAATTGCAGGGGAGGAGCAAAGCCTCTCCCCCACTCACGCAATTAATTTACCATGTGTAAATAAATAAAATCTGCTAAGAGTACGTTCTATTAAATGTACACATAGTATCGAAAATTTATGTTTTATTCATTAAATTTATTTTGTTTTTAACTTTTTAATAAACAATGACCTCGACAGTTGAAACCTTTTTTTTACTTAGAACTATTCCTTCGACAACATACGTAAAAGTCAAGATCATTGGGGAGGAAGAGAGCTTTTCGGGTCAGATTTACCGTAAAAAGCGAATATGAGGAAATTAAGGTTACAAAAGAAAAATCTGAGTTACTAGATAAAAATTCTGTAATATGATGCGGTTAAATTTATTTAAGACAGTATTTATTATAAAGGAATAATACTCAATATTATTCAATGTAGTGATAGATTTATAAATAGAGATCAATAAATTGCGAAAATATGTCATAAAGCTATTAGCCATAAAATCAAATGTAATTCTTTATAAAATATGTAAATCATAAAATAGTTGATTAGTCTTGTTAAATTGACTATTAAAAATAAGAGTGCTAGAATAAATAGTTTGAAATATAAAAAAAGCGCTATAGAGAATTATATTTACAAAATTCTATAAAATATGCTATTGCATAGCATTCTTCAAGACTTGCGTAATTTACAAATGCAAAAGCAAATATATATATAAAAGTGATGAAAAAATCTTTGAAAATATTTTTTTACCTCACCTCGCAAACATTCGTCATATTTGACTGGTCCACTTGCTGAACAGAATTAAATTGTACAAGAACCAATTCATAAGTCACGATGGTTCCAGCAACCTGAATTATTATTGGTAATCAGATAATGTGTATGAAATATATCTTTCAATATAATTGCTTAAAATTAATCTGAACTATCCTAATATCACACATTATTTTATTTTTCTGCTAAATTAATTTTAACATCTTTATCTCGAACATTAGAAGAGAGAGAGAGAGCGTTTTAAAATTTTTTTTTCTTAAAGTAGAATATTTAATAGATTAATTTCTTAATAAGAAACAAAATTTATAAGATACATAAGAATAAATGTAATTTTGTACAAAAGAGTACGAATAATCACCATTTTTTTCGCTCAATAGATTTGCATTATCAAATAATTCCTTTAATTAAACTATGTTTAAGTTATTTGAATTATCATACTTACGGTTAATACGAGGCTCCTTGTCACAGAAAAGAATTTCATCCCCGTTAAACTTATATTATCCGTCGTTACTTGTGTCAATAATCTCGCCACCTGCGTAATATTATGCAAGTATATGTACAAGTGGAGAAAAACAATTGAGGAAATTAATTTTTAAATAGCATGTTACCATTTTTTTAATTAACCGACTTTAAATCACTATATGTTTCTTGATATAGAAGAAACTTTTCAATACAAAATTTTATATTTATTAATAATACTTAAAGATATACAGGGTCCTACCGTATCATCTATTAATGGTAGATTTCTGTGGTCATTTGGAGACGAGAATTGTAATACCAAAATGTCGAGGTTTTAATTGAAAATTATTTAAAATTGACCAAATAAATTGTCAAAAATTCACACGCTCAAAAACATCGCACATCAAAAGTGCTCTCAGATATTAATTTAATTATTGATATTGATATAATTTATGTACTATTATTTAAATAATTTTATAAATTTATTTTCTTTATACGCAGATAATAATTCCGACAAATATTGTGGTAGTAATATAATAGCTTAAAAATTTTTTGGAATATTGATATTAGAACACGATGCGTATCCTCTGTCAAAACTTTCACATGTCATGGACAAATTCAAGCACTTTTAATGTACAACATGCCTAAGCATGCAATTTGATTGGTTAACTTCAAACAGTTTCAATTGAAAAACTATTGTAGTTTTGATATCTTGTTGTAACAGTACGCGCTGTTACTAAGCGCCGATCGGATTCCGCATAAGCACTCCCCATCGTGGGCCGCATTCCGATCCCCCAACTCGGGGGTAGCACAATCGGTATAAAAGCCGATTCGCGGAGCAGACCAGCACCATTCCCTCGAGTACGATTCGGACAAGCCTCAGGGCGCACTCTGAAGCTCCAGTCGTACTCGCTTTCGTCCTGACAGTCGGAAAAGTAGCAGGGCGTTCTCTGCTCCGGCCGGGTGTTCCCGATAACCGACTTCCTATCACTTCCTGTTGGTTTAGTAGTGAGGCGTTCCTCACTCCGGTCGAGTGTTCCCGACAACCGACTTCCTGTATTCCGTCGATCTAGTAGCAGGGCGTTCTCTGCTCCGATCGGGTGTTCCTGGCGATCGACCCCCAGACTACCGTCGGTTCAGTAGTGAGGCGTTCCTCACTCCGGTCGGGTGTTACCGGCGATCGACTTCCAGATTTCCGTCGATTTAGTAGTGAGGCGTTCCTCACTCCGGTCGGGTGTTCCCGACATGATTCGACTCTCAGAATCCCCGTAAGAGAGACGATTCTCTCTCTCCGGACGCAGCGTACCGGCAACCGTCTACGACTCATCCAGCCCAGATACACGCGGTATCATTTATTTGATTTATATTTGTTCTGTACCGTATTAACCGACCGAATTAGATTAAATTAGATTTAATTAGATTTATATGTTTAATTCCGAAAAAGGCGCACTCCAACCGAACAGGTTTATTTATTTACGCGCTTCCGCTGGTTATAATTCATTTGTTCTCATTTACTTTTCGTTTACGACAACACCGTTGAGATATTGATAATAAAATACCTATGTACTCATACTGATTGCTATTTTTTTTAATAATTATATCATCTTTAAATATTTATTTAAATAAATTTATTTTACCTAATTTACATTTATTAATTTGGAGTCACCCAACCACCACCCGAACGAATCCTAATAAACCGTCGAGCTATTCTCCGCATCGTAAAAATCAGCTTCGTTACATTGTTATTAAGATTCTCGTCTCCAAATAATCTTACAATCAGAAATCTGTCATGAACAGGTGAGACAGTAGGTCTGGGACATCTTATACAGGGTGTCTCAGACCTACCGTCAAACCTCTTCAGGGTAGATTCCTGATGTCATTCTGAGCCAAAAATTCCTCTTGCAAAATGTCGAGGGTGTCCTAGTTTTTGAGTTATAACCGGTTACAGATCACCAATAAATGCGGTGAACTTTCGCGCGCTCAGGGACGTCACACATCGAAGAACCCCGCGCGCGTGTCTTGTATAACAATTTATTTAACGCGTTTCTCGTAATTATTCACTGTTCACTGTTCACTGTTCACTGTTGCACTTAGTCCTCCACAGAAAGGGTAGAGTCAGGAAATTTCGCCGGTCAGTTTACACGGTCACACACAGCGTATCTTGCTTTTAACACGCGACGCGTTTTCGCGCACGTGTGTAGCAAGGTTACCATCGCGTCACTTTTTGACACTTTTCACTTAACAAACTGATCACTGATGACTTACCGAATTGTACGAAATTACGATACGCGCGCGGAAGCCGTCAAGCACGACACAAGTGCAGAACTGTCAAGCACTAGCGTGAAGCGCAACGCGCTAGTGTGACAGAAAATCAATACGAGCGATACAAAGTATGTCTTATCGCGTCGATACGGAGCAATCGATACGGAGCAATCGATACGGAGCAATCGATACGATGTTCTTAATAATAAAAATTAAATAAAACAAAGTAAAACTTTTATTTTAATTAAAAATTAATTATTTTTCATTAATTTTGATTTATTTATTTCTATAAATTAGTAGATATTAATTAATTATTATTAATATTAATTATTTATTTTTAAAAATTTACAATATTTATTTTACATTAATTATTATAAGTATTAGAACAGTATAACATGCATTAATATTTACAATTAATATTTACAATATTTATAATTAGTTTAATTTTTAATTAAAATGTCATAATATTTTGCTGCAGTGTACTCCATATTTCATAAACGTTTTATGACATTAGAGTGAAGTACGGCGCGAGTATGCGAATAAATGATGTACTAAATAACATTATTCTTTTTTTATTTAGTATATAATTTGTTCGCATTCCCACTTTTTAACGATAATGCAATAAAACGTTTGTAAAATATGGAGTACACTGCAGCAGAGTATTGTGATATTTTAATTATTTACGGAGAGTGTGGTCAGAACTGTCTCCTTACCGCGCGAGAATATAACGCTCGTTTTCCGGGGCGGAGACAAATCAATCCACATGTCATTTTGCGACTGTTGCATCGCGCGCGAGGAACGGGCCGTTTGATTCCTGATAGACATCTCAATGTCATTGCTGAACGTCGCGCTCGTACGGTAAACAACGAAGAGAGGATCTTGGATACGGTGAACAATGCTCCAGAAATGAGCGTACGCGAGATTAGCCGCGAGCTCACGATCTCACGTAGCACTGTCCACCGCGTGCTACGTGATAACAGATTCCGTGCGTATCATTTTACGCGAGTGCAACATTTGTTGCCAATGGATTTTGCTGCAAGACTTCGTTTTTGCACGTGGCTCTTAGACCAGGAGTATGATCGACCTGGTTTCGCGCGTGAAATCTTATTCACGGATGAATCGCATTTCACGCGCGATGATGTATTCAATATGCGGAATACACATTTATGGGCGGACGAGAATCCAAGAGAGTACAGGATTCGAAGTTTTCAACATCGGTTTAGTATAAATCTGTGGGCTGGCGTGCTGAACAACGCAATTGTAAGTATATTCTCCTTGATCAAGCAAAGTTTCGAGAATTCATTTTTTTACCTTTTCAGATTGATCCGTTTGAACTGCCAGCGCGAATGACAGGTCAATCGTATACACAATTTTTGCGAAATAACTTGCCGGAACTATTAGAAAACGTGCCGCTGGATCAGCGAATACGCATGATGTTCCAGCAAGACGGAGCCCCGCCGCACACTTGTAGGATGGTGCGTCAAGTATTAAATGAAATTTTTGAAAACCGATGGATCGGACGCCTAGGTCCCGTGCAATGGCCAGCGAGATCACCAGACCTGACCCCATTAGATTTTTTCTTTGGGGTACGGTGAAAAATTACGTTTACCGTGAACGCATCGACAATCGTGAAGAATTGAGCGACAAGATTGTTGAGGCGTTCGCAAAAATAACACCGGAAATGGTAAACAACGCACAACGCAGTCTGTTGCGATGGGCAAGGCTCTGCGTCGAATGCGATGGTGGCCAATTTGAACACCTCTTGTGAAATAGGTACGACAACAACAATGTTATTTTGTATGATAAACGGTATGCTTGCGATAAACATGCAACATACATATGAGTTACTTTATATTTTCAGATTTGTGCAGCAAAATCTGTTATTACGCAGTACACGGTGAACAGTGTTACGCGAGATTGCGACCTTACGACTCATCTCGCGAACGTTCATTTCTGGAGCATTGTTCACCGTAT